ATAAACAAATTTGAATAGTCAGTTCCCACCACAAATTTTGTTTTGGGGTGGGCAGGAGTGAAAAGTAACTGGAGCAGTGAATCTGCTGGCCTGACATTTCTCAACATTTTTAAGCCTAAGTGTCAGGAAGCTACAAGAAACCTAAAGAAGGGTTTTAGAAGGAATCTAAGCCTTTCTACTACACAAGCAAACAAGAGACTCAGTAATACTCTGTGAAGACTGCAAACCTTAATTTCAGGATAAAATAAAAATGGGATACAGAATCTGCTATCTTAGAAAGTTTCTGTTCATAAAACAATGCATGTCTACATGGAGCTGTATGTATATACTGTGATAGCTATGAGGAGCTGTATACACAGTAAGCCCTCCTTAGTCACAGATTTATTACACGTGGTTTTGACCAAAAGTGGACAAAAATGATAAGTAATAAATGAAAAGAAATTTCAAAACCAAAATTTTAAATTCCTGCATATGCAATATGCAGCTCATGTTACGTGAAGATCTCAGTCAGTCCTGTGTATTTCTGTTTAAATTGTTGGGGATCTACTAAATGTTCCCCTGCCCTTCATTTTGTGAAAAATCTGCCTCCCCAAAAGCAAATGCTGCCTCAAAAGCAAGGTCAAAGTGAAGGTGCTTCAATAGCCAAGTTATGGAAACAGCCAAGATGCCCCAGCACTGACGAATGGATTAAGAAAATGTGGTATCTATACACAATGGAATTCTATGCAGCCATGAAGAAGAACGAAATGTTATCATTCGCTGGTAAATGGATGGAATTGGAGAACATCATTCTGAGTGAGGTTAGCCTGGCTCAAAAGACCAAAAATCGTATGTTCTCCCTCATATGTGGACATTAGATCAAGGGCAAACACAACAAGGGGATTGGACTATGAGCACATGACAAAAGCGAGAGCACACAAGGGAGGGGTGAGAATAGGTAAGACACCTAAAAAACTAGCTAGCATTTGTTGCCCTTAATGCAGAGAAACTAAAGCAGATACCTTAAAGCAACTGAGGCCAATAGGAAAAGGGGACCAGGAACTAGAGAAAAGGTTAGATCAAAAAGAATTAACCTAGAAGGTAACACCCACGCACAGGAAATCAATGTGAGTCAACTCCCTGTATAGCTATCCTTATCTCAACCAGCAAAACCCCTTGTTCCTTCCTATTATTGCTTATACTCTCTCTACAACAAAATTAGAGATAAGGGCAAAATAGTTTCTGCTGGGTATTGAGTGGGGGGAGCGGGAGGGGGTGGAGTGGGTGGTAAGGGAGGGGGTGGGGGCAGGGGGGAGAAATGAACGAAGCCTTGTATGCACATATGAATAATAAAAGAAAAATGAAAAACAAAACAAAAAACAAACAAACAAAAAAAGCAAAGTGAATGTGCTTCATTTAAGTGATAAAGTGAAATTTTAAATTTGTTGAAGACAACACGCCTTTAGCAGATGCTCGGCGGCACGATGGGAAAAATGAATCAAGCATCCACAGTGCAGCACTGAACTCTACGCATCCTGAGACCTCCTCAGTGGAGGTCTCCTTGAACTACACACCACTGATGCCAGGGTCTACTGTATAGATAGGGAAGAAAAAAGTAACCAAACTATTCAGGCTAAATGTTGTCTTAAGTAATCTACTCTCTTGGGCACAATGTTAGAAATTAACATTTCTGGTCCACAGATTCAGAGTTTCAGCTTAAGCTTTGACTCCTATTTATCACTTAAAAATAAATAAATAGGCTGGGTACCGGTGGCTCAAGCTTGTAAATCCTAGCTACTCAGAAGGCAAACATCAGGAGGATCATGGTTCAAAACCAGCCCAGGCAAACAGTCTGCAAGACCTGATCTTGAAAATACTCAAAACAGTAAAAGGGCTGGTGGAGTGCCTCAAGTGGTAGAGCACTGGCCTAGCAAGCATGAAGCCCTGAGTTCAAACCCCAGTACTACTGATAAATAAATAAATAAATAAATGGCAACACTTTGATGGTATTTCAGATTTACAGCAATAGAAGCAGAGGTCAAAGGCTCTTCTTTTTTCTATTTTTGGTCAAAGGCTTTTTCTGACTACTGCTATTTTCCACTCATCAGTATTCTGTCACTATTTTATTCCTTTTTACTTGTATAATTATCGATATTTTAAATTGGTCTATGCCTTGTTTACTCTCTATTCCTTCTTCTCCCATCAGAATATTCCCTTCATGAGGATAGAGAAGTAGCTTGTTTTGTTCACCAGCCCTAACAGTTACTGTCTGGCAAACTGAAGAGGTGTAGTAAGTATTTAAATGAACGAATGAATGAGCATATGAGTGAACAGATCGACTGCTGCATAACTATGGCTCCTCCCTCTTCATGATCCTCATCCATGGATGCACTGATGTTTTGAGTACTTGGAAGTTAAGTGGGCATTTCTGGTGACGGTAATTGGAATCTGGGCAGGTGGTTCCATGGAAGCTGAGGTATAACTACTGCAGGTAACTACAGAACAAAGAGATGAAGACACGTAACTCTCCCACATAAATAGATAGTGACTGCTCCGAAGACGAGAGAACTTAATTGCAAAATTACTATGGGCCACCCCCGACTCCCAAAAGACATTTGTTAAACAAACTGCTTCCCTGGAAAAAGAACAGATGGAAATGTGGGTTTTAAGCACATTAGTAATTTCCATAATAGAATATGTACATATGTGGTATTTATGCAGTTTTAAATAAAAATTTAAGATTTAATATATATATTTAATATATATTGCAAGAGATTCTAATATTTAACCATTTAAAGCTATATTATACATAAAATAAATTCAAATTGTACTATAGCACTCATTACAGAAATACCTAATCCCAAACACAACTAACATTTAAAATTTTGCACTTTAGCGAGTAAGTCATAAGAATCAGAACTATAATTGTACATCTCCAAAGCACGCTGAAACATGATGTTCAAGAGTAAGACATAATGACAAAACTAATGCTATAAAATTTCAATTAAATGAAAAAAAAGAACAGTATGGATAAAAGAATATCCACAAAGAAATAAACACCCATGAAAGAAATATTAACAAAATTCCATGCTTAAATATAAAGAAACATAAACAAAACTGGTATTGGGAAATGATAATAACCTTGAGTGAGAAAGAGAGCATCTCCTGAGAAATATCTCAGCAGAGTTACCTGTAAAATACAATTTTTTATAAAGTTCTTTGGTCACATATTAGGTCAACTTGTAAGGCTAGGATAGTCACTGCAACTGGATTGCATTCATGAACATGATGAAAAGTTTATCAGTTACAACTGGAGACCATAAGACTTCTTTGTGTAAAATAAAACAGTACTTTATTTTAAATTTATGGATATACTTTGTACTAATGACAAAAATGTCTACTATAGCTTCTGCTGACAGTATCCAAGAGCTTAGGATGCCTCTCTTGAGGGATAACTTTGGGACCATATATACTCACACTTGCCTCCTCCATAAACCCTCCTCAGTAGGAATTCTTGAGAGATGTCATTTAGGTCACCAGGTATTTCAATAGTAACACAACAAAAAATATCAACAATAGTAGCATCTATTTACCATATGCCAGTCCTGTTCTAAATCTTTACATATAATAACTTAATCCCTTCAATAACTCTATACAATAGATACATATCAGAGTATTACAATGTGGATTGACAGATACATCCTACTTAGAAATTTCTTTAGGTCTTCCTACTTTCAACTGAGCTTTTAAGTAATTGCTATACCAACTCAAGCCATGCCTGAAACACTGGCTGGCATCTCATTATCTAGTAGAGCTGTGACAGTCCACTGTCCACAGCTTCACAGCTCTGCTTTCAGTGACACTGCAGTAGTAACCTGAATTTGACCATGATGGGCATATTTAACACTACAGAAATTGGCAAATCAGGGCCTTTCAAAAAAATCAGAAATCCGATTGTTAAGTATCTACTAATGCATCGCTGATCTTAGGAAATGTGTATTCTGTTAATTTTTTCATGTCCTATTCAGATTCAGGTAAAACAAGCTAAGCCCCCTAATTGGGTGAACCCAGTTATCATCTGCACCTATAGAAACCAGAGCTCTTAGAAAGGGGAAACTGAGTCTCATAACTACTTTCTTAGGTCTAGAGTACATTCCCTCCTTATTCATTTCCACAATATAATTCATTCTTAAACATCATGAACTTCTTAATCACTCTAAGACATCAATGATTACTATACTTGTCATGATTTTATAAGCTATTAAGAAGAAAAAAACTGCCAATTAAATTGATATATCATCAACAATAAGATGCATCCTGATACTATAAATACTGAAATCTAAAAAGTGTGCACATCAGAAACTGATGGAAATAAATCTTTTCTATCTTGTTTACTTTTGTTTTCCTATCTCGGAATCTTAGCTCAACATTTCCTTTAACCTTGATATTATACTCCTAAATCTCCCACCCTAGTTTTTTCCCCAATGCATATCTATATTCACAAATATCTTTATCTGTACAAACTATAAATACAATGAATTCAATTTATGTAATAGGAAAAATAACAATTCTGAAAAAGAAATGCAAAGTAATCGATAAAACGATAAAGCATCAGAATTCAGTGGGGTAAGAAGAGGGTACATGAAGATGTGACAATGGAAGGCTGCCCTGAAGAGAAAAACAATGTCTGTGGAACAGGGGAGGAGGCAAAAAAGGTTGCAGGCAAATGGGCCTGAGCAGCGTACATTACTACAGAATCCATTTTCATTTTATGGTGTAGAATCATCATCAGGCTTATCATTCAGATCTTCTCCAAAACTCTTATTGCTTTGAAAAGACAAAGAGTGGCCTAAGATGACTAACAAGGATTTTTTAAGCACTTCAGACTTTTCTTCTAATAGCATTACCATGAGAAGCAAATCTACTGTCTGCCTTTTCAAAAGTTACCCTCAAAACAATACTTTTAAGGTATTTCAACTTTTATGAATACTTGTAAAGCATCTGGAAATGAGTCTACTTACTCGCCATCCACTTCTGGTCTTTTACATACGCAATGAAACTTGCCACCAAAATCTATGTAAAGATCATTCTCTACAATATGAAAGATTCTTCCAATGACCACTTTGTCCTTGGCAGGGCCCATCTGTGTGAGAGGAGAGCGTCTCAGCATGGATGCGAAGGATTCCACATTTTTTGGAGATTCCTAAATATGAAAAGATATTTATACACATAAAATTCAACATAAATATATAATATGGTAGGAATAAGAAAGACACAAAGGATTTTTAAAAAGCCAATTTGCTGTACATTTACATTTTGTGGTGCTACTGAAGAACTTAAGTGGAATTTTGCTTTCAAAAGCCAGTTGTGCTCCTCAGCTTCCTCTTTTTCCCTTTCCTTACTGAATGCAGGTAATAGCATGATGCCATGGTACAAAAGTCCAAGTAAGGCAGGAGCAAGAAGCATCTGCATACAAAACTCTCAGAATGGTGGTCAGAGCCAGACTGGGAGAGAGGCATCCAAGGAGCCCGCTGGATTCATTCCTTGTACTGACCACCTGCAGAAAATGCCTTCTAATTCAGGTTTTAGTGAGAGTGACTGTTCTTTTAATAAAAATTCAAATGCACATTCACATAAAAATGACTAAGAGTCCTTCATCACAATTATCAGTCTGAGCTGGGCACTGGTAGGTCACGCCTATAATCCTAGCTACTCAGGAGGCAGAGATCAGAAGGATCAAGGTTCGAAGCTGGTCTGGGCAAACAGTTTGAGAGACCCTATCTTGAAAAAACTCATCACAAAAAGCTGGGCTGGTGGAGTGGCTCAGAGCCTTCACCTTGAGCCACTCTACCCGCACAAGTTTTTGTGATAGGGCTTTGAGAGATAGGGTCTTGCAAACTATTTGCCTGGGCTGGGTTCGAACTGCGATCCTAGTCTCTGTCTCCTGAGTAGCTAGGATTACAAGCATAAGCCACTGGCACCCAGCACGAGCTCTTGTTATATAATAATTTTAAACAAATCGAGTTTAAATTTCCCTCTCTTTCTTAAAGACAAATTCCAAAGAAAAAGTAGCATCTTTAAACATTTTGTGCTGCTTACTTTCTAGGAGTCTTTTATAGACTAAATTTGCCTATGGTCTGGCTGAACATGCAATGTAATCTGGTTACTCCTTTTTTATATGAAAATTTTTGCCAAATACATGCTTTTTCAGAAGTCCATGAGCAGAGATTTGTGCCTCTATTCATCTTTAATTTACACACGTTGTGATATCTACACTTTTCACAGATGAAGGGAAGCATTAAGTTTGTATTTGTGAGAGCTAATCACAAAAGAATATTAACAATTTGCTCTGGTTAAGTACATCCTGTACTTGGAATGAGTTTTAAGGTTATTATGTTATATATTATTACCAAAGAAGACTTATTATTTTTATGAAAATGGCATACATTTTAGTACCACTTATTTATTTATTTAGGCAGTACTGAGGTTTGAACTCAGTGTCTCATGCTTGCTAGACAGGCACTCTACCTCTTGAGCTGTACCTCAGGCTCTCAAAGAAAATTATTAAGAAGGAACTCTTAGCACAGAAGGCTCAATATAAACCAACAAGTCGGGAGAAGTACAGGCCAAGCTAGAGCTGAAAGGATAGCCAGGGATGTGTGCCATGAGCCACAGCACTAACTCATAACTCCATGAAGTTAAGAGTTAAAAGCTCATAACTGCTTAAAAGCTCCTTTCTGCTTAGCAAGCATGAGGCCCTGAGTACAAACTTCAGTACCACCAAAAAAATGAATAAAATAAAAGGCTTAAGTGGTAGAGTGCCTGCTTTGAAAGTGCAAAGCCCTCTGCTCAAACCCCAGTACCACAAAAAAAAAAAAATAAGTTTTTTCTTACAGACACAAGGAAAAAACACAACACAGACACAGCTAAGAACTGCCCTTTAGATGTGGTGCAGAGAGTAAAACTAGGTAACTCTAAGCCATCAGCAACAAGAGCAGCCACTATGCCCCTGTTTTGGAAGCCCCTATGCATCTGCAGCAGCTGTCCCCAGAGGCCTGGAGAGGAGCAGTGTTAACTTGGGGTTCTCGTCTTGCTTGTAGTAGGGAGGGTCCCGCACACTGTCCCTACTTTTCTTCATCACACTTTGATGGTTAATATCTACCAGGTTTCCTTTCTTCTTTGTCTTTGTCAGCAGACTCATTGAAGCCATGGTTCAATTAAAACAGCCTCAGATGACAGGAAAATGAAGATAATGCACCCATCACTAGCCTTGCTCCTAAAATACCACCATCTCCTTTATGACTGCAAAGAATGTCTGGGCTAAGATTATTGTGACAGTAAGGGGAACTTCCCCTTGGCTTTAGGAAATTGGGTATTCTCAGTTATTTTAAAATGATTCTCTTGAGATTTTTGGTAAATCTGTTCAGAAATATTTATTGCATTATAAGCTCTATAAAACTATGAATAATTATTTTCAAGATAACTTTAAGATCAAGTGGAAATAAAACTTATTGCTTTCTGTTCCATTATTGTTGCCTTTTATTTACTTCATCACATACAATGGAGGTGAGGTTTTTCAATGAGTGAATTTTTTTTTTTTTACCACAAATATAACACCAGACCCTTGAGTTAACACCAAGTTTGTTCTTAAATTGTACATTCATTATTGTTCACTGATTTTGGAAACCATAGCAAACAACCAGGCAAAATCTTCCTTCGAAAATCAGTCTACTTGGGAGGCAGAAATCTGGAGGATCATAGTTCAGGGCCAGTCTGGGCAAACAGTGAGATTCAATCTCAACAAATAAGCTGGGTGTGGTAGTACACACCGTTAACCTCAGCTATGTGGGAGGCTTATGTAGGATGATCATCACGGTCCAAAGCTGGCCCAGGAAAAAAAAAGTGAGACCCTATCTGAAAACTAAACTAGAGCAAAAAGGGCTGGGGGGGGGGGGCGTGACTCCAGTGATAGAGTGCTTGCCTAGCAAGCACAGAGCCCCGAATTCAATCCCTAGTACCAATGACAACAACAAGAACAAAAATGATAGCATAGAACTATCTGATTTTCTAGGGCATAAGCCAAGCTGCACTCATTTACTTGTCAAGTAACTTCTAAACACAATAAATGTAGAGAGTCCTGTTTATAAAATGTCTAAGCCAACACTGAAAGCTCCTCCCATGGTGATGCAGATGCAAGGATTATAGGCAGGTACTCTGTCAAGTGCTGGGTCTGCCTCTTGAGCTCAGTGCCTAACCCTGACCAGAAAGCGCACTCACTGTGGTGAAAGTGGGCAAGCAGGTAATTTGGAGATGACTGCTTCCCTCAAGAGCTGTTCTGGAGCTCAGATTTCCTGTTATTCTGCCATATTTTCTCAAAGTTGAACATAAAGGGAACAAGCAATAAGAGTCATTCATCAAACAAACTGGATGTTGAGTACTTATCATGTACCAGTCTCAGTTCTGGACCTTGACATGAGAACATATGAAATGGTAGGGGACATGGAGTTAAACCAACATGACTACAGAACTTGGTTCAAAAGTTACAACAGAATTGTTGCTCACACATAGGTTGTGAAGAGTCTTGTACTCTAGGCTAAGCAGGTTAGCATCAGAGTCAAAAAGTGGTTTCCCGCCAAGGAAGTGACAGTACTTGCTCTTTGTTTTAAAAAGACAGTGGTGGTAGCAGTATGCAAGATGAGCAGAAGGATAAAAAGAAGAGCTGGGAAGAGTGAACTGCTAAGCTGCTCCTTCAGTTAGCTAGCACATAGATGACAGGGTGGTGAGCACAGGACACAGAAGACACCAAGCTCAACTGAGCATGAGGACTGGATACCCAGCTGGCCATGGAGGTGGAGGAACCAGGGAGCCAAGAGGAAGAGCAGACCAGCACAGGAAAGGTAAAGAGGAAAAGAAAATTTAGTTCTGCACATGTTCTATCTATTATATAAACCTTTATAAAATTTTGGGAAACATTGGCTATCTGGTAGATAGTTTAAGAAAACAGTGTTTATGTTTCTGCACATATTTACATTATTTTACATGTAAATTACATATATTGTATAGATATAAATCCCTCAGAAGAAATGCACCGAATGCTAACTGCAGTAATTTCTGTATAGAACTGCATTCTTCTTCATATTATTTACCATAGAAAATCTAAAATACAAAAACTGTATCACTTAAAATCCTTAAAACATATGAAGCGTATATACATATTGTAAGTATCATGCACATGAGGACACTTTAATACAATAGCTTGCAGTCAAAGATTCTCAGTAATAAAAGAAAAATGAGCCATCAACTAGTCCAACTACTTCATTCTACACAGAAACAACATAACTGCTAGTCGAAGCTACATAGTATGGTATATTACTTCTTAAATAAAAGTTGCCAAAAGACAGAAATATCACTGAAAAAAACTAAAAAAGAAAGGACTGGCGGAAGGGAGCCATTGCTCAAATGCAGAGTGCCTGTCTCACAGGGCCTCAGTACGAGGCCCTGAGTTCAAGCCCCAGTACAGCAAAAAACAAGCAAACAAAAAAACCCGTAAGAAAGAATATAGCATACCAGAATAATACAATCATTTAAGAAACCCAAATGCTATAACAAACGTGGCCAATAAATAGCTAAAAAGTTAACCTCTCCAGATTTGTTCTCTTATTTGAAAATAAAAGAACTGGACAATTATATTTTCTTCCAACTCTAAAACAGCAGAAATTCTTAAATATTTTCAAATACAAAAAAGGCTTTATAGGGCCAGGCACAGTGGCTCCACCTGTAATCCCAGCTATTCAGGAAGTGGAGATCAGGAGGATGGGAAGGTTCAAAGCTATCCCAGGCAAAAAGTAAAACTTCATCTCAACAAATCAGGTATAACAGTGCACACCTGAATTCCAGATGTGCAGGACACATAGATAGGAGGATAGTGGTCCAAGGCTAGCTCTGGGCAAAAACATAAGATCCTATCTGAAAAACAAATAAAGACAAAAAAAAGAGCTGGGGGTGTGGCTCAAGCAGTAGAGTGCCTGCCTAGCAAGTCTGAGCACTGAGTTAAAAACCAAATACCACCAAAAATAAATAATAAAAGATTATATAAAGTGGTATGTATTAGAAATGTAAGACATCATTATTACTCAGCTTCCTCAAACAATAACAAAATAATGAAATAGTATATGTACTTACTTTCATACTACTTAGTAAGAA